TAGCAGCACCAATAATCCAGGACTGGCTCATTTTCGTTTCAGGACCATCGTAGCACTGGTATACAATGTGCTGAAAACCCTAATGGAAATGAATGGCAAGCTTTTTGATGACCTCACTAGCTCATACAAAGCTGAAAGACAGAGGTATTTGATATTTTGAATTACAAAATTTACCTACACATTTTAGGTTAGTTAAATGTGATTCAGTTCAGAAAGGTATCTAAGTTAAAATTAGATTTTAAAAAATTACATTATACTAAACATTATAATTTGAACGTCTCTTAATGCTTAAGTCATTTCCAGATAAACTAGCTCCAGTATTTTTATAAATTTGTTAAGCAGAAAAAGTGGTAACATTATTTAAGGTTTTTATATGTAATTTATTTCCCCTAATGGTTATATTACGATTTGAATGTGGATCATAATCCTGTTTATCTCATTCTGAGCCTTAGATATCAGTCTGGTAGTGTATGCATTGTGAATTTAGGCTGGATTGCAAATACCAATTTATAAAATTCGATTTCTTGTATTTATGAAAGTTGTTTTTGTCCACAAGGGTTTCCAGTGAGCTTTTACTCTTCAACTGTTCTTTGCATAAAAGTTGATTGTTCTTATGCTCCAGATTATCAGAAGGTAGTATTTGAAAGCCAACATAGTTCTCCTCTGGGAAAAGGGAACTCACATAATGATGTTTATGGCTTGGCAATAATATCTTAGAGAATAAATGGTAGCACCTATCAGCATTTAGGAACATGGCTTAGTGATTACTTCTTTTTGAGAATAAAATAATCACATCCTTATATATTTAAGTGGCCAGTAACCACTGTACCTGAGCCCATCCATCATTTGAGGATAATAGTTACCATTTACTTCTAATCACATTACCTGTTCTTTTTAGAAAAGCTGATCTATTTTGACTACAAATTCCTAGTCATGGTTTTCTTGCATCAAGAAGCCATCCTAGCCGATCAATAACTAACTCACTGCTATTTAAAAGAAATAATGCATTATTCAGGCAGGAATAGATATTGGGCACATGGTTTAAGCCTCAGGAAGTAATGGGAAGAAAGAAAAGATGACTGGCATCATGTAGAACTTATATTTGAAAAATGTTTATCTCAGATGGCTAACAATAATCATTATTTCTTACTCTCTGCATAAATCAGCAAATCCTTTAAAAGGATAAATCATATATAACTGCAGAAATATAAGCCTATGTTTTACACATCCATATATAGCCTTTCAGAATAGTCTGGTCCAAGTTATTCAGAAATGTTTTCCTTAGTATTGAAATTAAGTAGTTGAAACTACATATGAAATGTTTTGCTTTTTGTTATGTTTTAGAGACATCATTCAAACTTTAAAGTTTTCATTTGACATGTAAGAGACAGGAGATGGTAAGATACCAACCGGTTAATGGCCCAAAGGGCCGTGGCTTCTGCGTGGTGTCTGGTGAAGGGCAGGCTTCAGCCTGACCTAGTGGACAGCCCCTTCAGTCTTTGTAGCAGTGGTCGTGACTACTACAGCAACTGCAAGAAATTTATGTGAGAACATTAACGTCAACTACAAAGCACAAATAATGTTGTGGTAGTGATAAAATATAGGGAAAGGAAAGCAAGTAGTAACTTCCAGCCGGTACAAGAGATGCACAGACTTAGTGATTGTATGTAAGAGAGTGACAGGAAGAAATTAGGTGCTCCCAGTAATTGGACTCCGGTGCTTTAGTCAAGGCATTTAAGTGAACTATGGGCACAAATGTGTTCTCCAGTAAACTGCCAAACAGCACCTCTCTTCAAGTTCTGAAATAAAAACCTCTGATTACAAAAATTTTGGTTTATCTACAGAGAGAAAAAGAAGGAATTGGAACGTGAAGAATTATGGAAAAAATTAGAGGAGCTAAAGCTAAAGAAAGTTCTAGAAAACCAGAACAGTACTTACAGCACGGACAGTATTCTCAGCACTGCAAGTGCTGAATAAAAAAAAAAAAAAGCCTACCGCCACTGCTGGATAGGCGGTTTTGTATACTTTTTTGAAATATGTAAAAATGACAAAACAAACCTCATCAGTTTAATTAAAAGGCCAATTTTTTTTCTGGCAACTGTAAATGAAAAAATATATGGACTAAACACAGCCCTGTGCTCTATCATGGCCACAGCATATTGTAACCTTTGTCTAATCATTGATGTGTCACTTCTGAAGTTTCGCAGAAATGAATTTTATCGTCTATGATATGAATGAGATAATTATGGGAGTGGTAAGAATTATGACTTGAATTCTTCTTTGATTGTGTTGCACATAGATATGGTAGTCCGCTCTGTATATTTTTTCCTTTATCATGTGCTTTTTCATATTGCTGCAGACCTTAGTTACATCCTAGGAACAAGAATACTTCCTAAAATAAAACTAAGGTATCAGCCTTATCCTTCCCTTTGTGTCTCCCAGAAATATGATGGGAGGAATTACCTGCCCCAAGCCTTCCCTCATTAAAGATATTACTGTACTCTGGAATTTGAGCAAAACCTTAAATCTCCAGGCTTTTTAAAGCACAAAATATAAAAGCTGGGAAAGTAAACCAAAATTCTACAGATTGTTCCTCGTGAATATCCCCCTTCATCTGCAACTCCCCAGAGTGATGAACAGATTAGTAGAGGCAGCTCAGGTGAATACTCACTCAGCTTGCCTCTCAATTCATTCCTCCTCTTCCTCTCAAAGGCTGAAGGCAGGGCCTTTCCAGTCCTCACAACCTGCCCTTCCCCCAGTCCCTCCTAACCCAGGGATGGAAGCTTTGAGTCCCACGGTGTGGTGATACCGAGCGCTAGTTGTCACTGCCTGGCTTTATTTAAAGGAAATGCAGTAGGCTTCCTCTGTAGAGTTCTGAAAAAGTTGACTATATAGAGGTCTTGTATGTTTTTACTTGGTCAAGTATTTCTCACATCTTTTGTTATCAGAGTACCATTCCAATCTCTTAACTTGCAGTTGTGTGGAAAACTGTTTTGTAATGAAAGATCTTCATTGGGGGATTGAGCAGCATTTAATAAAGTCTATGTTTGTATTTTG